GATTTAAGACTTACACGTTTGGGAAACTGAATCCGATTGACAAATTTGATCCTGTTCATATGATACCTCTTTTTATAAGAAGTTAACATATATCTATGTATGGAGTTCTGGGCATTCGATTTCATGTATGTGTTGTGTTGTGTTTCTCCTTGTGATTCTGTGCAGTGGGATTTCTTGTGGCAGAAGGATATAAGTGATTCATTGATAGACTGGTAAATTTGGACCTCGGTAGACGGGAGGAGAAGAAATGTCCAGCTACGAGGGTGTTCTGGTTTCCGATCCATGGCTTCAGGGCCAATTTACTCAAGTTGAGCTGCGTGACCTAAAATCAAAGGCATGTCAACTGCATTGGTTCCTGGTTCTGCTTTTTCTTTGTGTGGAATGACCTTTGGTTTTTTATATATCTCTTCTCTGAAGATGTGCCCTGACTGAGGATATGGCCTTAGATAGGAACTTTTGGAGAACTAGGATTAGAGTAGCTGGATAGGAGCTCGGTGCTGTAGAGGTTGTTTGTAGTATGTTGTGTTTGTTTGGAATCCTTTGCTACTGCTTGTACTTGTTGCTTGTACTTGACTCTTTACCCGTGTTATACTGTGTTCCCTTACATATTTTTGTGCAGGTTGAGCCGGGGGTCTCTTGGAAACAGCCTCCCTACTTTCGAGTGGGGGCAAGGTCTGCGCACACACACCCTCCCCAGACCCTACTGTAGTGGGATTCAACTAGGTTGTTGTTGTTTGTTTGTTCTCTAAAGATGTGATTGTCATATCAACTTCCTGTAATAGAGTTCTTTTCTTTTATTTTCGCAAGCAAATTTAATGTCTGTTGTTGGTGCCAAAGACCTTGTGGTCCAGCAGCATCATGGTGACTCTCTTATATGGGAGGTTATAGGTTCGAATCTGAGTTGGGACAGTAATTCTACGTGCTTAATATGTTGAGAATGTATGAATGTAGACTACATTTTAATAGAGTTATCAGTGCTCAAAAAAGAATATGTTTGTTGTTGGTTAGTTGTCCTAAACTTAACTTTTATTTGGTGTGACAGTTTCTAGCTGCAAGAAATCAGCTAAACAAAGTCACCTTGGGAGATTTGCCAACAATTATGAGCCAACTAAAGGCCTTTAGTAATGTGTTCGGCGAGGGAGAAATTAAGGCCATATTGTCTGAATCGTCTTCTGACTTGAATGAAGAAATTGATTTTGAATCCTTTCTTCGGGTGAGTATGAGGTGCTTTTTTCTCTCTTTATCCTATGTTGCTATTATCATTCGCATCCAGCTATTTTGATGTTTCGTGGTCATTGAGTAATCTCTCTATCGTGATGTTGATGCCCCAAGGGGGCTGATTCTTTTTGGATAGGCATTTCTCAATTTGCAGGCGAGGGCCCCAACGACCTCAGGCAATTCGAAGCTAAAAGCCGCAACGTCTTTTCTCAAAGCTGCCACAACAACACTTCGCCACACAATTAGCGAGTCTGAGAAGGCCTCTTATGTGGCACATATCAATAGTTTTCTTGGAAATGACAAGTTCTTGAAGGATTACCTTCCATTAGATCCTTCAACCAATGCAATGTTTGATCTTGCAAAGGATGGTGTCTTGCTGTGGTAAGCATGAAGGATGTTTTGTAAGTAGTAATCATTCTATTCACAAAAGGCATCTAGTTTAGCATCTTCTGTGATTTAATTTGTTTTTTTTCGTTCCATTAATCATTTGGGATCATGCAGTAAGCTCATTAATGTTGCTGTTCCTGGAACAATAGACGAACGCGCAATTAATACCAAAAAATTTCTTAATCCATGGGAAAGAAATGAAAACCACACACTTTGCCTCAATTCTGCAAAGGCCATTGGTTGCACCGTGGTCAACATTGGTACACAGGATCTGGTTGAAGGAAGAGTATGTGAAGATTATCTCAGCTTTCTACTAGAATCTTGTTAAAAAAACATCATCGGTTAATAGCTAATAAATTCCTGATGAACATTTTTGCTCTTTTCCCTTTCTTTTTGATCTTGTTTTCATCAGCCACATCTCATCCTTGGATTGATTTCTCAAATAATCAAGGTAATTTTCCCACTCAGAATTTTGGAAATCAATGAACTGTTGAAGTAAAATCACCCTCCAATATTCTTATTTCGCTTATTTTTTTGTTTGTGATTAACAGATACAGCTCTTAGCCGATCTCAATCTTAGGAAAACTCCACAACTCCTAGAATTGGCTGAGGATAGTCAGGTTGCTAGACACTGATTGTTTTTACTTTTTATGCGGTCAAATAATGCACATTGCGTTCATGCCAGGTTGAAATGATTAAAGTAAACTTTGTAGGACGTGGAAGAGCTCCTTGGCTTGTCTCCAGAAAAAATATTACTGAAATGGATGAATTTTCATCTTAAAAAAGTTGGCTACAAGAAGCAGGTTACAAACTTCTCTTCAGATTTAAAGGTGAGACATTTCGTGCTAGATGCTTTTTAATTCATAAGGCGGATCGTGAAAAGAAAAAAAATGTTATTGATAAAATTTATATTCACATATTTATGTATTTCTTGCGAAGGATGGAGAGGCATATGCTCACTTGCTTAATGCACTTGCGCCTGAACATGGCACAACCAGCACACTTGATACAAAAGATCCTACAGAAAGAGCAAACTTGATTCTTGAGCATGCAGACAAATTGGATTGCAAAAGATATGTCACCGCGAAGGACATCATTGAGGGATCAACAAATTTGAATCTCGCATTTGTCGCTCAGCTATTCCAACGCAGGTCAGATGGTTTGTTTCAAACTACCCTTCGTATATATGAACATTCTTTAGCTAGCAGAAGCAAAAAAAAATTAAGAAAGAAATTGGTTCCCCTTCAAGAGCTAGTTGGTACGAGGCTTGTTCTATTCCAGGAATGGATTGTCGATAGAAAACTCAAAGTTGTCTTTTGCCACAATGATGACCGACGATGATCAAACTTCAAGAGACGAAAGATGCTTCCGGTTGTGGATTAACAGTCTGGGAGTTGATACATATGTCAACAACTTATTCGAGGATGTTCGAAACGGGTAAGCAGCTAGCTAGGCTAAAGTTACATGTTGAGAATAATTTTTGAATTTGGTAAAGAATATTCCTTATGCATACACAACACACAGGTGGGTTCTGTTGGAAGTGCTTGAGAAAGTGTCATGCAGGTCGGTTAACTGGAAGCAAGCCACGAAACCTCCAATCAAGATGCCTTTCAGAAAAGTCGAGAACTGCAACCAGGTCATAAGGATTGGAAAGGAATTGAATTTCTCTCTTGTAAATGTACAAGGAAATGATATTGTGCAAGGAAACAAGAAGCTCATCTTAGGTAATAAAATAAAGCTCATTCTTCCTTCTCCCCAATGGTTAATGAGAAGTAATTTTAAGACTTCATTATTCCGATGATCGTCCTTTTTTTAAATTTCTCTGGGGGGCCGGGGGTGGGGTTTTCCGGCCAGCTTTTCTATGGCAGTTGATGAGGTTTAGCATGCTCCAGCTTTTGAAAAATCTGAGATCTTACTCTCAAGGAAAGGAGATAACAGATGCTGACATTCTGAATTGGGCAAATAGAAAAGTAAAGAGTGCAGGCAGGAAAAGGCAAATGGAGAGCTTCAAAGTATGTCTAAACATTTTTTTTTATTTTAAAAATATCTATTTGATATATATTCACAAGTAATTTGACAATGGCTGCTTGCAGGACAAAAGTCTTTCGGATGGACTGTTCTTTCTTGAACTTTTAAGTGTTGTGGAGCCAAGGGTTGTAAACTGGAGCCTTGTCACCAAGGGGGTTACAGGTAGAGCATCTAAAAACTTCTAATCTAAAAATAAGACGGAAATTTTAGAAAATATATACTCTGTATAAGAAAAAGAACAAAAAAAGTGCCTATTAGAATTTAGAAGTAGTGTGACTATTTAAAATCATTTGAATGTTATTTCGGGACATTTTAAAGAATTCAATGACATTATTGGAAAAGATTTGAGTGTGGCTTTTTTTACAAAAAAAAATAATATTTGAGTGGCACTTTCGAACATTTTAAATAGTTCAATGGTATTAGTGAAAAATTAAAGGCAGTGGGATTTTGACAAAACAAATAACGCAGTGGCATTCTTGTCATTGCACTCTACTTCTTAAACTAAGCCACATATCAAATGTCTAGTTTTGCTTTTGAAGTTTTTGACCTGGAACAAACACAGTAACAATGTTGTATCCTTGGCAGATGAGGATAAGAAGCTAAATGCAACATATATCATCAGTGTTGCTCGGAAAATTGGGTGCTCCATCTTTTTGTTGCCTGAGGACATAATGGAGGTAATTGAGTTGTTCAATTCATTCTCTTCTTCATGAAAATTCAGCAGGCATTCCCACAACATTACTTATTTTGGCAGGTGAACCAGAAAATGATTCTGACATTGACAGCAAGCATAATGTACTGGAGCCTAGAGAAGAAAACAAAGGAGTCGGAGAGCGGTTCATCCTCCCCGATGCGGAGTACCAACGAGCAACCTCCTACTCCCACAACCAAGGAATGATTTTGAACAAAAAGTAAATAATTTTTCCTCTTTTTTTAATATGATACCGGGTGCCATTTTAGGAATGGCATCGCGTCCTGCTTGACCTACATGACTAATGGCAGTTGAATCATTTGGTCCAACAAAATTTGACTCACAAAGAACGGTGGACCGGGAAACGGAAAAACTATGTGTTGATTGCATTGCCTCTTTTTTTATGAACTTCATTTGTACTGTGAATTTGAACAATGGAGATGTGAAGAGAGAGGTTGATATGAATAATGTGTGAACCTTAAGGACCCTGAAGTTTATTTCACATAATGTGAGACCTGAAGTTCTTAACAGAAAATCAAGAACACCCGAAGTATTTTATAAATATAATATGGAACCCATGAGCTCTTAACAAAAAATCCAGAGTACTCCAGAGTGATTTTCTGTCTTTAAAGGGGAAAAATATATAAACACAATATATGCAAAACAAACTCAGGTACTAGGGCGTACCATTTTATTGGATAAAAGAACTGTCATAAAAAATTACAAAAAATGGCGCCATATGGAGATTATACAGTAACTAATATGCCCCACCCCTACACTTAAAAGCAAACTGTTTTTATTGATGTGGTTAACATTAACTTTCACATTTTCCCCTACAATATACTCCGTACATTAAAACTTAGCAACTGGAGATTAAAAAGGGCAGCCATGCATTGAGAAGGAAATAATAAACACAGCTAATGAGATCTCACTGTAATAGTCTTCTTTCTGGTTGTGTGGGGGGTATCACCACCGTATCGCGTTCAGCTGCAGCCAAATGCATGAGCATCTCGAGGCGCTTGTCGAAAAGCAAAGCACTCTCGTCTCTTTTGTCCAGGTCAGCAGCTTCGGCCTCGAGCCATTTCTCCCTCAAATCATCCAGAACATTCCCACCCTCGGCTGGCGCGCTCCTCACCCCGGCTCCAGGTGCGCTCGGAGCGGAGGTACGGAGCGTTGAATCCCCGGAAGGCGGTGGCAGTGTCAACAGCATTGCCCTGAACTCTGGCATCTCTGCGAATGTCTCAAAGTTACAAGCCATTGCATCAAGACAGTACTCCCGTATCTTCAATACACCGTACCTATTTGGGCACAAATTGTGTGTTTAAAAAATATATCAATTCAAGGAGTCTCAATGAAATTTAAACCAAGAATGACTTGGGAACAACATTTTCAATTGGCATAATCAAATTTGAAAATGCTAATGTTAAACACTGATATTGTTGCCAAAAGGGCACTTCCCCAGAATGTATCTTGTGTCGTGTGTGCGCGGATATGCGTGTATGTGTAATTTGTGTGTATAAAATTAAGGGTTTGGGTAGTGGATTAGTGGGTACACAAGGGGTACTACCCACCCTCTACCTTATCCCAAAAAGACGAAAAATGGGTGTCCATACCCTATATAAACTTGTATAGCATACTTGATTGAAAGAACACTTGCTATAGCATACTTAACCAACAACTCTATGTAATCCTACAAGTGGGGTCTAGGGACCTTTACCTACCCTTGCGGGGAAGGGAGGCTGCTTCCTAAAGACATGTGGTTCAGCTAATCAAAGAGACGAAATGAAAGAACGAGTTTTTTACTAAACTAGGGCACTTTTACATCTTATTTTCTGCAATATGATAAGTTTAAACTTATTTTCATACATGAGATACTTTTTTACTCTTTAGCACCAATTCAACACAATACTTTCTCCCTTAACATATTAATGCAAGTGAGATCAATGAACCAAAACACCACATAGAAAACTTGTTGCTTTAATTTGTATTTTAACTGTATTTTTAGTACATTAAATATTTTAGTATTGATGGTAGAATAATAAAAGAAAATATTAAGTGACTTTTTACATTATATATTAAAAAAATTATTAATAGTTGTAAATTTCATAAATTATAATAAATATAGTTATAAATAAGATGATTATTACAACTAAAGCAGTATCCCTTCTTTTCAAGAATCCCAAATTCGGCTTACGATTTTTGGCTCAAAATATTTTCAATTGAGTTTGTTCAAAACTATATTGAAAAAATCATACATGAAACCTTTTTATAGAACACAGTATTAGATAGTCATTTCTCCAATCAATAACACTTTTCAACCTCTTTTTGATATACTCTTAAAACTATTGTTTTTTCAAACGAGAATATGAACTACATTGAACTTATCTTTATATGAAATCTATGAATGTTATGCAGTAATAAGTATATAATTATTTTGATATTTAATGTAATGAAATTTATGAATAAACCATTCTTAATAATAAAAAAATGTATTTAAAGTAATAAAATATATCAACTCTTAAACAACATTTAATATTAATAATCTACCTTAGAATTAGAATATTGCTTTTGTTGTGTTGGTGGCTCATTTTTTACATTATTTCATATATTTATCATATATATATATATATATAGAGAGAGAGAGAGAGAGTATTAATAACAAAGAGTAAAATTAATATCAAAGTAACAACTTGTTTTTGTGGTTTAGTGGTTCATCGATCTCACCTTCTACTTGATGTCAATGGGTCCATTCATATTAGCAGCATTTTTAAAATTTTAATATTTTGTAAATATAAAAATAAATGATGTGGAAATGATGATAATGTGGGGAATGCGACAAGTCTACCTTAAGAAAAAATTTGGTGTGGATGCGACAATAAAAAGTACTCCCTCCGTCCCAAAATAATCTTCACTTTTCTGTTAAGGAAAACAATATGTGGCTTAAAAAATTCTCTTTCTTTCTCATCAATTTCAAACCACTCCTTTTTCTGTTTCAACATTTTTCTTATATTTTGTGAAAGTCAAATGCAGGGAGTATATATCCCAAAATTGAAAAAAGTGGGATTATTTTGCATTTTTGGGACAGGGAGTATATATCCAAAAATTGGAAATGCACTTAAAAGTTAAAAGTACCCTATTTTAGGAAATAATTTTAAAAGTGCCCTATTTTGGTGATTAAAAACAAAAACTCAAAAAACAAGGCTTACATGTCCGACAATATCAGCCAATGGCACAACTTTGCAGGAGACACCATTTCTAGATGAGGCAGCAAAACATCTGCCGCTGCACGCTTAAGGGGAAATAGCAGGTACCTTGAAGCAGCATCAAACAATTCTTCAGCCTGATAAAATTATCAAATTAAAAAAGATCTGATTGCAAGAGAAAAAACCACAAACCTTACGAATGATGGCAGGTTACAGAAATTAACAGCATACCTGATCTGGGTCTATGTCCTTCAAGCCATCCGTGTACCTGAAGTTCAGACAAAAAAATTGTTACTGGTCTATTTCAATTTATTAAAAAAGTAATTAGAAGAGAAGCAAAGACAACCAGAAATAATAACAAAGAGTAACTACTTACATATACTCAATCATTTTCTCAAAAGCTGCACTACTTAGGTCATGCTCCTCAAGGCATAATAATTTACCATAAGGTAAGCCATTATGTCCTTCAAGAAAATCCTTCATGCGAGATAGCCTTGCCTTGAAATACTCAGACCTTGAAGCTAATATCACCTGATGGCACCGAAAAACCGTCTCCTCAACTTTCACACATACATCTGCAAGATCATCTTCTTCGGAATCATCAATCATCTGCATTGAACCAATACTGGATACAAGACCATCATCAATGTCACTTTCCAGATTCTTCCTTTGATTAGGAGAGTGGGAAATAGATGTTTGAAGTATCTTGTGCAATGCAGTCGAAAGACGATCTTCTTCTGGAAGCGAAAGTCCCTGCAAGATATACCGCTTTTGAGAGTTATCCACATCCCAGAGGGCTTTATAATTAGCATGTCTTTGATGAATCAACTCTTTCTCCAGAAGAATTCGCAATGACTCGCATTTGCAGACTTTGCAAATTGTGATAAGATCTTCCATGTCATCTACGGCTACCTCAAGTCTGTCAGAATAAAAGAACTGGATAAGGCTGTAAAGTGCGGGGTATGAGAGCTTTTCCCTTGAGAATCGGACTTCTTTGCGATCCTTCCACACTGTTTGGAATTTTTTCTTGAGAAAAGGTGATCTTGCACTCAAAATGACTCTATGAGCTTCAATAGGCTTCCCTTGCAAATAAAATACAACATCTGGTGGAAAGTGGCTCAAGCAGGGACCTCCATTACCTGTTCAATCATTCTATACAATATTTCAGGTGCATCAATTGAAGAGCAGTGTTAAAGGGTTAGAATCAAACAAAGTATCCTTGACAAGAGAGATATTAATGTAATTCATATGAACTGTTTAGACCTTTATAATCTTTAAACAACACCTAATTTTGCATAAAATGTCATTTCTAGTCACCATAACATAGCTAGGTACTATCCCCACACACAGTATGTGTTGTCAATTCAATTGGAATGCATAGTATGGAGTAATACTCTCTACATCCCACAAAAAGCTTCCTTACTTGACTTTGATGGAGTTTAAGAGAAGTGTTAGTATGTCGTTGATTTTTTTTAAGAGAGAAAATATATAGTGAACCCACATATTTCTTTTCTTAATAAAGAATGAGAGGTGAAGTTATTTCTTTTTGGAACATCCTATAAGTGTGATGGTTTCATTGTTTTCGGAGAAATGTTTGATGACTCCAATTTTGACACCATTTGTAAAACATACCGAACTTTTTTATTAAAAAAATCAATATTTTCACAATATATCATAGATAAAGTACACATCATATACACAACAAGCCTACCAAACAGGCTTCATAATTTAAAGATTTGAAAGAACAAGAGAAAACAAAAACACAAACTTTGAAAACCTTCTACTTTAACAATCAAAATTGTAGCGGTGTAGCTTCATAAGTTCTTTACGAGATTTGAGGCAGCGACTATTTAATGAAACTCTCATAAGGAAATGTTTAGGACTTCATACTTTTTGTTTAAATATTGGAAACTCTTGGAGGCCTTCCCCTACCAATTCAGAAGCATGAATAAAGAAAATTCAGAAACACACTTCAACGAGAGAGATGTGTTTCCATTAGAACAAAACTTCTTCAGTTAATAGCTTGTACCCTGATAACATGTTTGCTTATTTAAGGAAAAAATACTTGTATGTATACTCCTACAGTTTGTGGAGTATTTACGCATTTTCCCTGTGTTTAGTTGAAAAAATCCTGCATTTTTTTAAAATGTTGAATCTTATTGTGTTGCAACGCAATTCAATAATTTTGAAACACATTGTGTTGCATTTCCTCTACAATTGTGTTGGTTAAAGCAGTGTTTTTTCAAAGTTTGTGTTTTTGTTTCCTCTTATTCTTCTTTGTTATCATTAAATTGTGTTGCAACATTTGTCAAAAATGTTTTGTTGAAACACATTTTGAAGTATTTACACATCTCCCGTGTTTTTCTGAAAAAATGTATCTTCTTGTATCAAAGATAAGAAAACCTCTTCACTTATGTGTTTCATTTCTGAAAAAATATTGAATCTCTGGACACACATGAGGGTGCTAACTATGTACGAGTAGTTCCCTTCTCTGAACTAAATAAGGACATACAATATCATTAATCTCAGCATAAGTTTGAGAAACACTAACTGTAGAGAAAAACTTAAAGGTCATAAAACTATGACACTGAAAAATGGAGGTGAAATAATCTTCAAGTGAAAACCCAGGATAGCTAACAAGAAAACAGAGGATACATTTATATGAAAGATGTTACACTCAAACTTTTAGATGGGGATCTATGTATGAGTTGAACCTGGTTAACCCTATGCCTTAAAAAGTTAAATGTACATGGGTGCTTATAAGTTTAGATTCATTTGTCGTTCAAAGTTTCTCGTTTGCATATACATTGAAGGAATTTTGTAGGCAAGCACACAAATTCATTTTGGAATTAACCTACATTGGTGGTTTTAGAATTTTATCCCATCATTCCTTCTTAATTGGGTAAGCCTGCAACATAAAAGAGTTGTCTCTATGTTTTTTATATGAATGTGTCATGTTAACCAGTTCTATACAATTAACCACACTACAAATTCAATTCCATGGATCCCAACTAGTTACGATGAACATGCCAGTGATGATGATGACTGATGAATGCCAGCCCAGCAAATAACTTACAAAAGTACAATAGTTTCTTTCGAGTAGATACCGTTATAGGAAGCACTTGGATATCAATTACTCAGCAGTACAGTTGGTTTTTATAAACCAAATTAATATAAAAATCAATATGTTCAAATAGGAGGGCTTGGTGACTGGTGAAATTACCTGGAATTGAGGAGTAAGAACCCTGGGATTGTCGCTCAGCCGGAAATCCACAAGCATTTGCCGAGCATCCCAAGAAGGTGTCCCTGAGGGCGGCCTGCAAGGGGGCGAGAGGGGGCGGTCGAGCCTCAAACGCCTTGAGGAGCTTGCGAACCTTCAGATTCAGGGCGGCGTAGTGACAGCGGTCGCCGTCGAATGTGTGCTCCGAGCAAATCGCGCCGCTCTCCAGGAGCATCCTGGCCGCGTCGAGGTGGCCGGCGAGGCACGCGTAGTAGAGCGCGGCGGAGTCCCACTGGTCCCTGGCGTTCACGTTGACGCCGGTCTCGAGCAGGTACCGGAGCCGGTCGACGTCGCCGGCCCTAGAGGCCTCGAAGACATCTCCGTGGGGCACCTTCTTCAGAGGGACTGAAGACTCCAAGTCCTCCGGTTCCAGATCAATGTCGTCCAAATCCGTCATGGATATATGGAGAAGAAAACCGCTCAGCCCAGAAGCATTTCTATATTCCTCGTCTCCAAATGTTAAATTAGGGGCCGTTTGGTTGTCCCCCAAATCACCAATATGTACAATATTTTTGGAATTTTTTGAATACATGCTTTTTAGAGTTATGTGTAACAAATTTAACAATGTAACATAAAATGAATGCACCACTTCACGTTTATATGTAATATTAAACAAAATCAATATAGCATGTCAAACAATGCAAACATGCATCCTCATTAATGAAACTATATGAATAATTAACTATCTTCTTTATTTTTAAATAAATTTAATTTTAATATTCACGCGATCAAATTATATTTTTTTCCTCACTTATTTATTTTAATTTCTCGTTACAATAAAAAATTTTCCAAAAATCAAGCTTCATTTTGTGAAAAATATGAATGCCCATGTAATAAAAATCTCAATTTGCACATAACACCTTGATGGGAGCACAACCCATCAATATATGTACAGAGTAGTAAATAATATATGAGTCCATAACATATTCTACCCAGAAAATATTTAGTTAAGAAATACACGAGAGTAGAGTAAATATAAAGGTGTTTTTAAGCTCGGCAAGAATCAGGCTAGACAAAAACATGCCCAACAACCCAGCCTGATTTGTATGAGATGGCGGAGTAAGGGAAAGATTAATGAGAAAGAACAACGATTGACCTAGCTTAACATGATCTGATCTAAATTTGATCTGATTTATTCTTATTTGAATAAGAATAAATAAAATGTAGTCCATAATAGGAATTTGATTATCATACCTCTTACTAGTATTTGATTTACAATTTCTAGCTACTAATTTAACTCAATCCAAAATATATGAATGAAATTGATTTCTGAGTATACCTACAAGGACTAAAATATGTGTTAACTCGGTAAACTACTCCATTCATCATAAGATAGAGTTCTTCACCATTCAATGATCAAATCATTCTTCATTATTTATTTTACAAACTAATATAGCCAATCACCTCATGTTTTTTTCTAGAAATCTTTACATGTGTTCAAAATATCTAAAAAATTTACTTTTAAATTTCATATGAATTATAAAATAAATTTAAATAAACATATATTTAAATGAAAATAATTTCAATCAAATGTACTCCCTCCGTCCCATAGTATTTGTCCACTTTCATTTTTACACACCATCCAATACATTTCTTTAATCCATTTTATCTTATAATTTGTATATTAAAAAATTATAGAAATTATATATTAATAATCTATATGTTAAGACAAATCAAACAAGATCACACATGACTATATTTAGGCTTACACATTGAAAGAATTTGATGAGTCAAAGTACTTTGATGAACAGTTCTAAAAATCAAAAGTGGACGAATATAGCGGGACGGAGAGAGTAATAAAGAAAATTATATTTTTGGACGGAATTATACCGGGGCACTGGGCTATTTACCAAATGGATCCTAATTTTTGGACTAATCACATCTCAAAGTCTTTCTACGGCCTCCCTTTCGAGATTTCATCGTGTGACCCAATGACAATTAGGGTTGGGCTGCGAATTAGGGTTGTTGAGCCGAATCAGAGATGGGCTGGGCTGCGAAAGAGGATATTAAATCAGAGAAATGGTCAACCCTAATGACCAATTCTCCGCTCGCTGAAATTGTCAGTCACACCGATCATTAGGAGTGTTCAAAAATATCCGATCCAAAATATTCGTTCATGATCTGGGTTGATCCGATTCGAAAAATAGATATCCGATCCGATATTTTAGCTTTCGAATATTTCATATCGGATATCCGAAAAATTCGGATCGGATATGGAATGAAATACTCCGTAATAAGATTTCGGATATTCGGATATTCGAAGTTTATATTTTAAAAAAAATAAATATAAAAATAAAGCTTAGACAACTTAAGCCCAATTCATTTTCATCATCATAAATATTTTAATTTAAGATTAATTGAAGTTTTTAACTTTAGTCTTTTTGTCTATGTTTTATTTGTCAATTATGTTGATATTCTTTTTTCATACATTTATAAAATTATGACTTATGATAACACTATCAAGGTAACTATGACATTTAAAATATAGTTGACTTCAAATTCAAGTTTAAATTATGACCTCTACTATTTTAACAAATAAAAAATCATTCTAAATACTTTTTTAGAATTATTGGAAAAAATAAAAATTCAAAAAAAAAATAAATAACTTTTTTTCGGATATTCCATTGATCCAATCCAAAATTTCGGATATCCAAAATTCGAGTATCCGGTAATTTTCGGATCAGACATGGAATAGATATTTACTAATCCGAAAATTTCGGGTATCCAAAAAACCGGATCAGATCGGATCAGATATATCCGAATGAACACCCCTACCGATCATGATGCAAGACCAGGGACGTAACTGCATACAATGTATCGCTTCATGTAGATTATAAATAGGGGGTAGCCTCATCTGTAAACGCAATCTAAATTGAGTTAATACAAATAATATTGAGAAAGTATTTTCGAGAGTTCTTTTGTAACTCTTTATTGTAGTTGTTCGTACTTCACAAACTTACTATTTATGGTTTAAATTTTTAATTTTAAATTTATTTTAGACTATTTTAATTTCATTTATTGAAATTCACAAATAGTAAATTTGTGAAGTTTGTGAACCAAGCATTTTCCTTGAAATCCACTTAAATAACTTTTGTCTACAAAGAATCTGACCCACAAACTTCTTTGCTACATTATCTCTCAATACTGTGAAAAAGAAGCCCAGAATGCAATTGTCAACAATATCAAAAGTAAATTTTAGTTCTCTAGTGATACAATTTAATTGGTTGGTTTTCTTTGTGGGCTTAAAAGAAGGAATCATGATTTGAATATATTTTTTTTCTAGAAAAAATCACCACCATACACCCCGAAATATTTCAGAATACTCCGAAAATTAATTTATTACACCATTACGCTCACAATTTCTCTATTTTTTTCAAAAACATTGTACCCACTGAAAAAAGTGATTTTTTGTCAAGTCATCACTTTAAATATCTATTTAGATGTTAAACAATTTTATTGTGCGAGTAAGGTGGTAGTTGCAGTGTTTTTGAAGAAAAAAAGAGTAATTTTGAGATTAATGGCATAATTAATTGATTTTCGGATTATTCTTGTAAAATCGTTAATTTTCTGTAGTGCGGTGAATTTTTCCTAACGAGTTTTTTTAATACTCCGTGATGAGCAAGCAATTTAATAATTAAAGAACCCAAATCAATAATTACACCTAAAAATTTGAGATTCAAAATTCAAAATATATAAATATATAAATATAAGATTAAAAATTGTATTTTAAATTTAAACATGTGAGATTTAGCATTTAAATTTTAGAAATTAAATAATAAGAAAAATTAAAATTTAAAACTGAAAAAAAAAACATTTAAAACTTGTACTATAAAATAGAGTAAAAATTTAAAATTTAAACTTAAAAATTTGGAATTTAAACTTTAAAAATTTTAAAAATAAATTTAAAATTTAAAAACAGAAACGAGAAAACACTAAATTGAAAGAAGGCACACAAATATAAAATACTATCTTTAATAATAACAGAAAGAGAACTATTATCAATATAATAATTCAGGCCGCCGCTGCAGGGGATATGTGACAGTCATCAGGTGTCACAGCCGGTTATCATATGTTGGGAAGAACTCCACTTCGAATTCCAAAAGTGTTTCTCGTGCCGGATTGGATCGCCATTGACCTCAGAATTCCAGCCCGAGAGACCCAAAGCATCC